TGGGCAACATGGCAAAACCCTATCTATACAAAAAATACAAAAATTGGCCAGGCATTGTGGTGCGTGCCAACAGTCTCAGCTACTCGGGAGGCTGAGGTGGGAGGATCACCTGAGCCTGGGGAGGTCGAGGCTGTACCAAGCTGCAATCGTGCCTCTGCACGCCAACCTGGGCAACAGAGCAAGACCCTGTCTCTAAAATAAAGCAAAAGAAAACCAAAAGCCCTACTGGCGTGAAATACATTCACCCTGTTGTGCAACCAACACCTCCATCTAGTTCCAGAACGTTCTCTTCACCCCCAAAGGAAACCTGTATTCATCCTCATTTCCTCTGCCCCCACTTCTCCCAGCCTCTGGCAACCACTCATCTGCTTTCTCTCTCTATGGATTGATTACTCCCCTGGTAGTGGGAGGGTTGTTTGAGATTCAGGGGGAGAGGAGCGAGTTGAGGGTACATTTCACCATCAGAGTATGTGGCAGCTACAGCAGGTTCTAGAGCAGGGGGTGTCCTGCTCTGGGGCCTGCATGAGCCATAATCCTGTTCCTTGCCCTCCCCAGGCAGGACAGACGGCCCTGATGCTGGCAGTCAGCCACGGGCGGGTGGACGTTGTCAAAGCCCTGCTGGCCTGTGAGGCAGACATCAATGTGCAAGATGATGATGGCTCCACGGCCCTCATGTGCGCCTGTGAGCACGGCCACAAGGAGATTGCAGGGCTGCTGCTGGCCGTACCCAGCTGTGACATCTCACTCACAGATCGCGTGAGTCTCCAACCAGGTGCACCCCGGGGAGGGCGGGAGCACAGCGTGGGGACATCATTCATAGCACCGGATACTTTGCAGGATGGGAGCACAGCTCTGATGGTGGCCTTGGACGCAGGGCAGAGTGAGATTGCGTCCATGCTGTATTCCCGCATGAACATCAAATGCTCGGTGAGTCTCAACCCGGCCGGGGAGGCGTGGGGTGGGTGGGGCTCTGAGAGGAGAGAGATTTGTTTTTCTTTTTGTTTTTGAGACAGAGTCTCACTCTCGCCCAGGCTGGAGCGCAGTGGCACGATCTGGGCTCACTGCAACCTCCACCTCCCAGCTTCAAGCGATTCTGCTGCCTCAGCCTCCTGAGTAGCTGTGATTACAGGCGTGCACTACCACGCCCAGCTAATTTTTGTATTTTTAGTAGAGATGGGGTTCCACCATGTTGATCAGGCTGGTCTCGAACTCCTGACCTCGTGATCTACCCACCTCAGCCTCCCAAAGTGCTTGGATTACAGGCATGAGCCACCGCGCCCAGCCTTGTTTTTGTTTCGAGACTGAGTCTTACTCTGTCACCCAGGCTGGAGTGCAGTGGCACAATTTTAGTTTATTGCAGCCTCCACTTCCTGGGCTCAAGTGATCCTTTCACCTCAGCCTCCTGAGTAGCTGGGACTACAGGTGCTCACCACCACACCTGGCTGAGTTGTTTTGTTTTGTTTGAAACAAAGTCTTGCTCTATCACCCAGGCTGGAGTACAGTGGCGCAGTCTTGGCTCACTGCAACCTGTATCTCCCAGGTTCGAGCAACTCTCCTGCCTCAGCCTCCAGAGTAGCTGGGATTACAGGTACACACCACCATGCCCAGCTAATTTTTGTGTTTTTAGTAGAGATGGGATTTCACTGTGTTGGCCAGGCTGGTCTTGAACTCCTGAGCTCAAGTAATCTGTCCGCCTCTGCCTCCCAAAGTGCTGGGATTACAGGAGTGAGCCACCGCACCCGGCCATTTTTTTTCTATTCTTTGTGGAGGCTGGGTCTCACTGTGTTGCCCAGGCTGGTCTTGAAATCCTGGGCTCAAGCCATGCTTCCTCCTCGGCCTCCGAAAGTGCTGGGATTACAGGGGTCAGCTACTGCGCCTGGCCAGAGGAGACGGATGTTTATGAAGAGCTGATTGTGCACGGGGTCCATGCTAAGGATAAAGTCAGGATATGATCAGCTGCTTGCTGAACCTTCATAGTGCCCCAGTGAGGAAATTAGTCACAGAGAGGCTTCATGGCCATGGTTGGCACAGCAGTATCCGCGCCTGGGTCTGTCTGGTTCCAAATGCGTAACTTAGTCATCATTCACTCATTTGAAAAATATTTATTGAGTGCCTGCTGTGTGTTAGGCCCAGTTCTGGGTAGTCCCCAGTGGTCACAGCACTGATCAAAACAGAAAACAGTATCCACCCTTGTGGAGTGGGCATTCTGGTAAGAGATACAATCAGGCTGGGTGTGGTGGCTCACGTCTATAATCCCAGCATCTTGGGGGGCTGAGGCAGGAGGACTGCTTGACCCTAGGAGTTTGAGACCAGTCTGGGCAACATAGGGAGACCCTGTCTCCGCAAAAATACAAAAATGAGGCCAGGTGCGGTGGCTCACGCCTGTAATCCCAGCACTCTGGGAGGCTGAGGCGGGCGGATCACAAGGTCAGGAGATTGAGACCATCCTGGCTAACACGGTGAAACCCAGTCTCTACTAAAAAATACAAAAAAAAAGTTAGCTGGGCATGGTGGCGGGTGCCTGTAGTCCCAGCTACTCGGGAGGCTGAGGCAGGAGAATGGTGTGAATCCGGGAGGTGGAGCTTGCAGTGAGCCGAGATGGCGCCACTGCACTCCAGCCTGGGCGACAGAGCGAGACTCTGTCTCAAAAAATAATAATAATGGCCGGGCGCGGTGGCTCAAGCCTGTAATCCCAGCACTTTGGGAGGCCGAGATGGGCGGATCACGAGGTCAGGAGATCGAGACCATCCTGGCTAACACGGTGAAACCCCGTCTCTACTAAGAAATACAAAAAATAGCCGGGCGAGGTGGCAGCGCCTGTAGTCCCAGCTACTCGGGAGGCTGAGGCCGGAGAATGGCGTGAACCCGGGAGGCGGAGCTTGCAGTGAGCTGAGATCCGGCCACTGCACTCCAGCCTGGGCGACAGCACGAGACTCCGTCTCAAAAAAAAAAAAAAAAAAAAATTAGCTGGACGTAGTGGTGCATGCCTATAGTTCCAGCTACTTGGAAGGCTAAGGCGGGAGGATTGCTTGAGCCCAGGTGGTCGAGGCTGCTGTGAGCTATGATTGGACCACTACACTCCAGCCTGGTGATAGAGCAAGACCCTGTCTTTAATCAAAAAAAATCTAGGCCAGGCACAGTGTCTCACACCTGTAATCCCAACACTTTGGGAGGCCGAGGTAGGCGGATCACCTGAGGTCAGGAGTTCGAGACCAGCCTGACCAACGTGGAGAAACCCCGTCTCTACTAAAAATACAAAATTAGCCGGACGTGGTGGCGCATGCCTATAATCCCAGCTATCCCAGCTACTAAGGAGGCTGAGGCCGGAGAATCACTTGAACCCAGGAGGTGGAGGTTGCAGTGAGCCAAGATCACACCATTGCACTCCAGCCTAGGCAACAAGAGTAAAACTGTCTCGAAAAAGAAAAAGAAAAAAAAAAGCCAAAGTCCTCTCCAAAGTCCACCAGGCCCTGCACAACACCCTCACCTTCCCCACGACTGTTTCTCTCCCCCTTCAGCCACACTGGCCTTATTGCCACGACCCCTCTGCACTTACCCCAGGGCCTTTGCACGTGCTGTTTCCGCTGCCTGGAATGCCCTTCCCTGCTTGCTGGTCCCTTGATGCCATTCACAGTCAGCTGAGACCTCACCCTCCCTGAGCAGCCACTGTCCACCCTCATTCCTTTGCATCCCTCACCCCTGGTGAACATCTTCGACCACAGTCATGAGTTTGTTTCTTCAAGGCGGTGCCCCTAGAGTGCCACCTCCTTGGGGCCAGGGGCCATGCCTCCCTCTTGCTTACCCACCATAACTACCAGGCCAGCCACCACGTCGGCGCCTCGGGGGATTGGAAAGGATCCCGAACAAAAAGAATTCTGCTTCTCGTTTCAGTTTGCCCCAATGTCAGATGACGAGAGCCCTACATCATCCTCGGCAGAAGAGTAGCTGTGAGGGAGGCGGGGGCCACCAGCCCCGGAGCAAACCGTCCCTTGTCCCCGTCTCCTCCCTGTTCCCATTCCTCCCTGGCCCACCCCACTCACACTCCCCAAGGCCCATGGCTGAAAGGCAAGCGAGCTTTCCCTCTGCTTCCCTGGGGGAGCCCCGACGGCCACAGGACTCCAGCTCCAAGCGGGTTTTCTTGGCTCCCCGGATCAAAGCGGCCGCAGCGCAGACCGAAGCAAAATTCTTGTATACATTGGCGCCAGGGCTGATGCTGGGGTGTGGGTTTTATGAAGAACATTGAGAACAATCAGCTGGTAATTATGGATGGAGGAAGAGGGAGAGGAAAAAAATACTGTATTTTTGAATCCGTGTTGCAGGAGGGGGCGGGAATCTTAGGATTTGTTGCCAGATTTGAAAGTCACTGGAACTTGCATATTTTCATTTTAATCCTAAGTGTTATTACGCACCAGTTTGGGGTTCACCCTTCATCCCTCACATTTAATTGTCTGATATAGAATAGTGTTATGCCCACTGCCCCCCTCTAGACGGCTTTGTTAGGGGAATTTTCTTCCGGTTGTTTCACGAGACAGATCCTGGCCTTGTCACCCAGGACAGAAAACTCAGTCTTTTCACCCTCATTCAAATGAAGGGACTCAGGACAAGTTCTGTGACTTAACAGGGAACCAATTCACAGTGAGAAATTACCAGCCAGGCGTGGTGACTCACATCTGTACTCCCAGCACTTTGGGAGGGCAAGGCAAGAGCTTGAGCCTAGACATTCAAGACCATAGCAACATAGCAAGACCCATCTCTACAAGAAATGTGAAAATTAGCCAGGCGTGGTGGTGCGCACCTGTAGTCCCAGCTACTTGGGAGGCTGAGCCCTGGAGGTCGAGGCTGCAGTGAGCTGTGCCATTGCACTTCAGCCTAGGTGACACAGCGAGACCCTGTCTCCAGAAAAAAAAAAAAAAAATTACCCAGAAACCCCTCCCTTCCCCACATGGAGGTCTTGGCAAATGTTAATTTTCCTAGAAAATCCTTCAGACCTGGAGACGAAGAAAAGAATCTGGCTCTCAGGGTGACTTCTGTGTCCCCCTGCCAGGCCCCGGAGTATGGTCACAGGGCCGTCCTGTTCCTCCCTGGGACTCCAGAATTTCTCTCCTCAAAGGAAAGAAAACAGGGCATGTGCTTGTTGGCAAAACGCAGGGCCAGCTCCCAAGAACCCCATGTGTGCACGATTAAAAGTTGGCCGTTCCCAGGCCTCCCGGCGCAAACTTAAAGAGACAGGGCTTTGCTGAAAACCAAACATGGGCCAGCTGGCCTTTTTAACAACCTAGAGGCTTTCCGGAGCTGCCTGGAACAGAGCCTGCGGGAAACAGAGCTTGCCAGAGACGCTCACAGTTTCCTTCGTGGCCTGTTTTGGTCCCCCAAGAATCTCCACATCATTTTCTTCCTTGTGCCTTTTCCTTGGTGAGCAACAGAAAGGGAAGGGTTCCAAGCCTCTAAAAATGTGCCTTGTGATCAGGAGTGTGCTCCAAACCAAATATGTGCGCTGCCCTTTCGAGGCCAGTGAGCTCAGCCCCCAAGGCTTTAAAAGCCACATTTCAGCAAGAGAAAGCGCCGAGAGCTCGCAGGTTCATTAAAGAAGGCAAAGCACTGGTTTCTCTCCTTAGAAAAGTAGGTTTCTTGGCTTGATGTAGATTGGCTTGCTTTGATTTTTAGTGAAGGGAATGTACGTAAAACAAAATAGGGCTTGGCTGGTCAAAGGAGACAGGAAGGAAGAAAGGAAGGATGGATGGATGGATAGATGGATGGATGGATGGTATTTTCATGTAAATTGCAGAGAAAACAAAACCAAAGCTGATTGGAAACAATGAGTTGCTGGTGTCTGAGGGGAAAGGACGCAGTTTTGGGCAGCTTTGAGAAGCGGTACAAGAGTGCTGTGCCTGTGTGTCCATCCCTGGAGCCAGCCAGTGCATTTATTTTAAACTCTTAGAAGCAACTTCTTGGCCCAGGAATGCGAGACCCCTGAGGTGGGTCCACGCGTCTCTCTACGCTTCCTTCTCTCCGTGGGATACCGGGCTCCTGCCTCTGTGCCCATTCTCTTCTCACGCGTATCCATAAGCTTTAATTTCACTTTCTGATCACGGTACGTCCTGTCTCTTATACACATCTAGATGTGTATAAGAGGCATGGGCAACAGGGAGACTCCATCTCAATAAAAAAGTCAAAATTCGGGCTGAGCACGGTGGTTCACACCTGTAATCCCAGCACTTTGGGAGGCCAAGGCGGGTGGATCACCTGAGGTCAGGAGTTGGAGACCAGCCTGCCCAACATGGTGAAACCCTGTCTCTACTAAAAATACAAAATTAGCCGGACGTGGTGGCGCATGCCTATAATCCCAGCTATCCCAGCTACTAAGGAGGCTGAGGCCGGAGAATCACTTGAACCCAGGAGGTGGAGGTTGCAGTGAGCCAAGATCACACCATTGCACTCCAGCCTAGGCAACAAGAGTAAAACTGTCTCGAAAAAGAAAAAGAAAAAAAAAAGCCAAAGTCCTCTCCAAAGTCCACCAGGCCCTGCACAACACCCTCACCTTCCCCACGACTGTTTCTCTCCCCCTTCAGCCACACTGGCCTTATTGCCACGACCCCTCTGCACTTACCCCAGGGCCTTTGCACGTGCTGTTTCCGCTGCCTGGAATGCCCTTCCCTGCTTGCTGGTCCCTTGATGCCATTCACAGTCAGCTGAGACCTCACCCTCCCTGAGCAGCCACTGTCCACCCTCATTCCTTTGCATCCCTCACCCCTGGTGAACATCTTCGACCACAGTCATGAGTTTGTTTCTTCAAGGCGGTGCCCCTAGAGTGCCACCTCCTTGGGGCCAGGGGCCATGCCTCCCTCTTGCTTACCCACCATAACTACCAGGCCAGCCACCACGTCGGCGCCTCGGGGGATTGGAAAGGATCCCGAACAAAAAGAATTCTGCTTCTCGTTTCAGTTTGCCCCAATGTCAGATGACGAGAGCCCTACATCATCCTCGGCAGAAGAGTAGCTGTGAGGGAGGCGGGGGCCACCAGCCCCGGAGCAAACCGTCCCTTGTCCCCGTCTCCTCCCTGTTCCCATTCCTCCCTGGCCCACCCCACTCACACTCCCCAAGGCCCATGGCTGAAAGGCAAGCGAGCTTTCCCTCTGCTTCCCTGGGGGAGCCCCGACGGCCACAGGACTCCAGCTCCAAGCGGGTTTTCTTGGCTCCCCGGATCAAAGCGGCCGCAGCGCAGACCGAAGCAAAATTCTTGTATACATTGGCGCCAGGGCTGATGCTGGGGTGTGGGTTTTATGAAGAACATTGAGAACAATCAGCTGGTAATTATGGATGGAGGAAGAGGGAGAGGAAAAAAATACTGTATTTTTGAATCCGTGTTGCAGGAGGGGGCGGGAATCTTAGGATTTGTTGCCAGATTTGAAAGTCACTGGAACTTGCATATTTTCATTTTAATCCTAAGTGTTATTACGCACCAGTTTGGGGTTCACCCTTCATCCCTCACATTTAATTGTCTGATATAGAATAGTGTTATGCCCACTGCCCCCCTCTAGACGGCTTTGTTAGGGGAATTTTCTTCCGGTTGTTTCACGAGACAGATCCTGGCCTTGTCACCCAGGACAGAAAACTCAGTCTTTTCACCCTCATTCAAATGAAGGGACTCAGGACAAGTTCTGTGACTTAACAGGGAACCAATTCACAGTGAGAAATTACCAGCCAGGCGTGGTGACTCACATCTGTACTCCCAGCACTTTGGGAGGGCAAGGCAAGAGCTTGAGCCTAGACATTCAAGACCATAGCAACATAGCAAGACCCATCTCTACAAGAAATGTGAAAATTAGCCAGGCGTGGTGGTGCGCACCTGTAGTCCCAGCTACTTGGGAGGCTGAGCCCTGGAGGTCGAGGCTGCAGTGAGCTGTGCCATTGCACTTCAGCCTAGGTGACACAGCGAGACCCTGTCTCCAGAAAAAAAAAAAAAAAATTACCCAGAAACCCCTCCCTTCCCCACATGGAGGTCTTGGCAAATGTTAATTTTCCTAGAAAATCCTTCAGACCTGGAGACGAAGAAAAGAATCTGGCTCTCAGGGTGACTTCTGTGTCCCCCTGCCAGGCCCCGGAGTATGGTCACAGGGCCGTCCTGTTCCTCCCTGGGACTCCAGAATTTCTCTCCTCAAAGGAAAGAAAACAGGGCATGTGCTTGTTGGCAAAACGCAGGGCCAGCTCCCAAGAACCCCATGTGTGCACGATTAAAAGTTGGCCGTTCCCAGGCCTCCCGGCGCAAACTTAAAGAGACAGGGCTTTGCTGAAAACCAAACATGGGCCAGCTGGCCTTTTTAACAACCTAGAGGCTTTCCGGAGCTGCCTGGAACAGAGCCTGCGGGAAACAGAGCTTGCCAGAGACGCTCACAGTTTCCTTCGTGGCCTGTTTTGGTCCCCCAAGAATCTCCACATCATTTTCTTCCTTGTGCCTTTTCCTTGGTGAGCAACAGAAAGGGAAGGGTTCCAAGCCTCTAAAAATGTGCCTTGTGATCAGGAGTGTGCTCCAAACCAAATATGTGCGCTGCCCTTTCGAGGCCAGTGAGCTCAGCCCCCAAGGCTTTAAAAGCCACATTTCAGCAAGAGAAAGCGCCGAGAGCTCGCAGGTTCATTAAAGAAGGCAAAGCACTGGTTTCTCTCCTTAGAAAAGTAGGTTTCTTGGCTTGATGTAGATTGGCTTGCTTTGATTTTTAGTGAAGGGAATGTACGTAAAACAAAATAGGGCTTGGCTGGTCAAAGGAGACAGGAAGGAAGAAAGGAAGGATGGATGGATGGATAGATGGATGGATGGATGGATGGATGGATGGATGGATAGATGGATGGATGGATGGTATTTTCATGTAAATTGCAGAGAAAACAAAACCAAAGCTGATTGGAAACAATGAGTTGCTGGTGTCTGAGGGGAAAGGACGCAGTTTTGGGCAGCTTTGAGAAGCGGTACAAGAGTGCTGTGCCTGTGTGTCCATCCCTGGAGCCAGCCAGTGCATTTATTTTAAACTCTTAGAAGCAACTTCTTGGCCCAGGAATGCGAGACCCCTGAGGTGGGTCCACGCGTCTCTCTACGCTTCCTTCTCTCCGTGGGATACCGGGCTCCTGCCTCTGTGCCCATTCTCTTCTCACGCGTATCCATAAGCTTTAATTTCACTTTCTGATCACGGTACGTCCATAAAGCCAGTATTACACTTAATTGAAGTATTCTTTTTTGTAATCGTTTTTTAAGAAGGTAAACAAATTTAATAAAGCTACCAATAATGTTGATGATTCTGTGTCTTTTTTCACTCTGCTCCCTTTTAAACTTTAAGATAGACATCTTTCCTTTTTTTTTTTTTTTTTTTGAGACAGAGTTTTGCTTCTCGTCACCCAGCCTGGAGTGCAGTGGCGCGATCTTGGCTCAATGCAACCTCTGCCTCCTGGATTCAAGCAATTCTCCTGCCTCGATTATCCCGAGTAGCTGGGACTACAGGCGCCCGCCACCACACCCGGCTAATTTTTGTATTTTGGGTAGAGACGGGGTTTCACCGTGTTGGTCAGGCTAGTCTCGAACTCCTGACCTCAGGTGATCCACCCGCCTCAGCCTCCCAGAGTGCTGGGATTACAGGCGCGAACCACCGCTTTTTGTTGTTTTTGGAGAGAGAGTCTCACTCCGTCTCCCAGGTTGGAGTACAGTGGTACAAATCCTAGCCCACTGCAGTCTCTACCTCCAGCACTCAAGCGATCCTCCCACCTCAACCTTCTGACTAGCTGGGACCACAGGCTTGCGCCACCACCCCTGACTTCTTGTTGTTGAGACGGAGTCTCCCTCTGTCGCCCAGGCTGGAGTGCAGTGGTGCGATCTTGGCTCACTGAAACCTCCGCCTCGTGCGCCTTGTGGACTAAAGCAATTATCCTGCCTCAGCCTCCTGAGTAGCTTGGATTAGAAGCACCCACCACCACACCCAGCTAATTTTTGTATTTTTAGTAGAGATGGGTTTTCACCATGTTGGCCAGGCCGGTCTTGAACTCCTGACCTCAAGTGATCCATCCGCCTCGGCCTCCCAAAGTGCTGGGATTATAGGTGTGAGCCACCGCACCCGGCCTAATTTATAAATTTTTTGTAGAAATGGGGTTTTGCTATGTTGCCCAAGCCAGTCTCGAACTTCCGGTCTCCTGCTACCCTCCCGCCTCGGCCTCCCAAAGTGCTGGGATTATACACATGAGCTGCTGCAAATCTCTTTTTCAAAATGGACTTATTTT